GTACATACATACACTTCTCCAAGAAATTAAACGCATCACCAAAAAGTTGCCAAAACTTTAGGAATCATTTTCGTCAAAAGTACTTGAGGTCCGATTGGGACGTTTTTTATTCTGAATGACATGTTATTTCCTTCTGAATATTGGTGGTGCAAACTGTATTCGCATGAGAACCTCTTTTTTATGAATTCCGGGTAGCAATCATAGCTTGTTTTTTTCATGAACTAAAAGTGTTGCCTAGAAAAATACCTATGTTTGTGTCAGTAATACGGACGTCAATTCAAGTTCAAGAGCTAATTTTGGGATTCAAATAGACGACTTTTGTGTGGGTTGCAGAAAAAAAGCTATTATTGGACCGGTAGAACGAGCATTCCAAACGAGATTCCAAATAAATATGTGAGCCAACATAGACATTTTCTTCACCGATGTATCTTAGGCCATTTATGAGCTTTATCAATGAAATAATAAATGAATAATGAATAATATACAACGACCATGAATTAAAAAACATACCTATTATCGGGATGGATATGATCAAAATAATCTCATTTTGTTGTAGGTGTACGTATATTTCTTTCACTAATGATCAACTGAAATATGCTTATCTCCTAGTTTGTTTCTTGATGGCTGATTCATTTCAAGATGAATAAATCGGTGAAATTACCATATAAGATGCCTATACATATATGTAGGTTAGTACTCATTAGTGGGTATGTATAAAAATGAGACTATATAGGTATCTACTTATGAGACGAATAATGATTATAAAGGGTGATTCATTACTAATTGAAAATATTTCCACTATAGAATTCTGAACTCACACTGGGATGATTCAACCCAAATCATCTGAATAAAATGTGTTTCCTTTCTGAGTTACAGGGTGTTTCATTTGAAAATCAGTTGTGCCCTGTACTATTAAACTATTCGACAAATAATTATTGTCATATTTGGTAGGGAGTGTAAGTACTATACATCCTACTAAATTATTTCAAATGAAGGTTTCTGGCTTCTACCAGAGGTGTACGACAGGGGCGAGTAACTGATTGATCCCTCCCAAATTCTACGCCACTGGCAGAAATGCAATTCTTTCGCGATATATCGATTGTCCAACAATATTTACGAAGATATTGTATTCTTTCCTCATGACGATATGGTCATTATTTTTAGAAATATTTCAAGTTAAACATGAAGCCGCACAATTATTTTGATTTTGATGTGTATTAATTATGTCGATATTTTGGATCAATGGATTGAATTCATCAATCCAATCCAAAATATCCTGTACTAGCTCCTGTCTGTTTTTATTGTTAATATGGATTGCAGTTCCATTTGATTGATGAATGCAATCTATTGATCCAAAATATCTACACATCAAATTCAAAAAAAAATAGTGCAGCTTCATGTTTTAGTTGAAATATCTATTGAAATGATGACTTCATCGCCATGGAGAGAGATTACAATATCTAGGTGAAAATTGTTGGGGAATCGAAAATTGTGATAGAATTGGCGTAGAATAAGGGATAGAACAACCAGTTACTTGCCCCTGTCGTACGCCTCTGGTAGTAACCAGAAACGTTCATTCAACATGATTCATTAGGGTGTATAGTACTTACATTCCCCACTAAATATGACAATAATACGTCGAATAGTTTTAAAGTACAATGCATTAAAAGTTTTCAAATTTTCAAACAACTCATACAGGAGACATATTTTATCTAGGTGATTTTTGGTTGAATCATCATATTTTGAGTTTAGGATTCTATAGTTGAATCATAGATCTAAATATTCAATCTATGGTTGAACTATTCCAATTAGTAATGAATCATCCAGTATATCTAGACGTACTGAACCAGAACATTTTGGACAGTTACCACATTGATACTTCAATATTTATGTTAAAAAAGTACATTCCTTCATGATATTGAGATTCAGAATAATATTGCTTCCTTATTATGATACCTATATATACAGGGTGAGTCAGTTTTTTGTAGCAGGATGTCAATAGCTTAAAGAAGATACTATTTCGAGATAAAAATCTCATGTAAAAATATGAGCGTAGGAGCCCCTTTTCCGATATTTTTATATATATATATTTTTGTGTTTTTCAAGTTTGCCACTGAGTTTCATTGAAACATCCTATGAAAGCTTTCGAGCATTCCAGATTCAAAATATAAACTGGTTCACACAAAAACTCAAGTGAAGCTGTAACGTTAGATATATCGAAAGCATTCGACTGTCTTTGGCACCAAGGACTTCTCCATAAACTACCATCATACGGCTTACCACCTCAGCAATGCCTACTGTCATCAGGTTTTCTATCAAGCAGATCGCTCCATGTGGTAGTGGACGGAGTATCGTCTGATACCATAGTCATCAATTCCGGAGTTCCACAAGGATCAACTTTGGCACCAACATTGTTCCTACTCAATATCAATGATCTATTTGGAGCAATACTTGCCCTATCCACAGCTTTGCAGACGATAGTACTTTTCATACTGCGTTCTCTTTCAGAATTCCCATATCTTCTCAGGAAACTTAGAACGACGCCTCGGGGCAGGTCAATGCTGTCAATGCAGATTTTGCTATAATAACAGCATGGGGAATCAACAACCTTGTTGAATTCAACGCTACCACAATTCGAGCATGTATTTTCTCTAGAAAGGCGGAACTCAGTATGCCTGATATATCAATGTCTGTTAGCACCATTCCCACAAAGTCCACTATATCCATGCTCGGTATTTCCATAAGCAATACAGCTCTTTCATGGAAAAATTATGTCATATCCATTGCGAAAGCTGCTTCACAAAAACTCGGATTTTTAATTTATGCGAGAATCTACTTTACACCTCAACAGCTTTTTATGATCTACAAAACACAATTACAGCCTGTTCTAGAATACTTATGGCATCACCCAAACATACAGCTGATGCTCTTAAGTGCTATTCGCCTGGTGGGTCACCAGGTCTTCTTCTCAATTATTGAGAAATGTCAAATAGAGTGTTTCCCAAAGATGAAGTTTCATCACAAGTAGAATATTTTCTGTATTTATCTCGAAATGCATACAGTTTTCGGCAAACATATTGGAGAGCAAAAAGTATCCAGACATCAGAACAGAAAATCCAAATTAATGTTTCATTGAGAGAAGAGGCAGCAAGCAAAACAGTTCAAGAGGGTTAAATTGGGTGAAACCTTGAAAAATGTATCACCCTGTAGGTAATCAAAATCGCCTAATTGCCGTCAATATTGAATTCTGAAAATTATAGGAGAAAACTTGAAGAAAAAATCTCGAACTCTGATTCTCTGAACTTTTCATCTTGAAAATACGTTTTCTTCGAGCTGTTAAAATTCTGCAACAAAAAACTGACTTACCTTGTATAATGAAGGATCCGATACAAAGTATATCATGATTATTTGAAACGGAGGACAGCTTAGTCTGTCAGTCAGTCAGAGTTTGCATATTATTTTTTCGTGACCTACTACAGACTGACAGGTGTGAACTCAATGATGGTTACAAATGGAGTTCTCCTTCGAGAATACTGTATATTTGTAAATTATTTAGCTTGTTATTCTTGTATAATAGTTTGAATAGTAGAAGTTCTAGTTTGAATATTTCTTGACTTGGTGCAGGGTAGGTCTTAGTGAGAGTGCCTATGTATGACAAATTCGATTTTTGTGGACGGTTCAATGATTAAAAGTAGCGACACTGCCAAATGGGTCGGAAATATTTATGAGAATGTAATTTATACCTGGTGAACACTTTGATTTATAAAAAAAAATCGGGTATTGCTGGAAGCAGAGTTACATATCCCATATTTTGAGCGACCCAGGTCATATGCGAAAAATAGGTGTTATCTGAAGAAAAAATCAGGTGTCATCTGCCAAACTGCAATAGGTCAGTAATCGTTCACTATTTCCATCTCCTGAAATATTTCTGTGATTATAAAGAGAATGAAAAATATATCGTTCGGCATGATTTTATTTTGTGGAAAGGAAAACTATCGAAATAATATTTGGTAAGTTTTGAGATTCAATTTTTTCACTTTATATACGTACCTAGATAGTATCATCTTGGATCCATGTTTTTCTTCAATATAGAAACATTGAAATACAAAACTGAAGAAGTGATAAGCGAACAAAACATTAAAAATGAAATTACGAAAAAATTATGCTTTAGAGTAAATCATCGTGTATATTGGCGAATTAATAGTATTTTCCATTCAATGAATCCTATCTATATTGAATATTCATACATTCATCTGAAAATCAAAATTATACTTACATTCCCATTAAACGCCGGATATCCATATGATGTCCATGCTTGGCCCAAAGAACATGGACATGGATGTGCATTAACCACTAGTACAATGGACATTCGTTCAGGGACATTCACTGGACATTCAGTTTTAGTCTATACTGGACGTGAAGTTTTAATTGAATGATGGACGTCCATTTTACTTCCTTTGTATACATCCTTCGGTCGAATATACAACGATATATACCATTCGCCAATCGATTAATTCCTTACATTCAAATAGTGAGTTCAATTCAATTACATGCGATATGAAAAAGAAATAAATTTAAAGGCAGCAAGAGTTTCATTGGAGCGGTACCAATTTCATCGGCAGAGCAACTGCGGAATATTCCATGATGATTATTTCTCCTCTATGAATATTTTGAACATAAGTTCGCAAGAACCATATAATGGCCAGTGGAGCTGCGTACCTCGCGATTACGAGTCTCGTACGCCACTAAATCTGGCATATCGATATCCGATGGATATCCATTGCATGTCCTTCTGGACATAATCGGACGTCCAATGGATATTCGTAAAGTCCCTTGTAGACATCGGATATACATTGTATGTACGTGAGTTATATGGGTTTCTATATACTATCAGTACAGTCGCTACTTTTAATCATCATATTGTCCACGAAATAACATTGGCCCCACACAATCTTGTAGACTTTGGAGTATCTTTAAATGAAATTTGGTTTTCCTTGCAGGGGGGATATGGCGGCTAGGCCGGCCCACCTGTGTTTTGGAGTCAGATTTCGGATTTATCCTCAACTGTGCTTTTAAGAAATCTAGCCTGTTTCGAGTTAGAAATCTTGGTGGTGTGAAAGCTCACATAGGCCTGGGTAAATTCTATCTTTCTATGCTAAAATTTTCTCTGAATCAGCAGATCAGAACTATGCATGAGTCACTGAAGAAATATCTAATTACATCTCATTTCTTCATTTAGAATTTTTATAGATTCCTTTTTCATCTAACAATCTCATATATATGTAATAATATAACATAATGAGTACTCGAATCTACCTACCTCCTCTTCCTATCCTCCCTAGACACGCTGTTCCACGAACATAAGAAGGATTCACTTTCGGGTGCTCCTGAAGTTAAAAAAACATCTGAAAGTGTGGTCAATGTAGTTTATTTGTTTCACAAACCAGATGACAGTGGACGGAAACATTTAGGTGTCTACACATAATTGAATAAGTAGGTTATCTCATTTGGATGTACAGTGTTATCAATCGAAAAGGCCCACCCCTATATCTGACCTTTCCTTACCTTACCTTATCTATATATCGAAAAAGAATATATGTAAGTTGAATGCCGCAATGAGGCCTTTGCACAGCCCTTATCAAACGATTTACAGGGAAATTCCTGAAAAAGTGACAAACCAGAAGTTATTCCTTTTGAAACACCATTTTCTTTATATTTTTTTTTGTATCTGTGATTTTTGTGATCATAGAAATATATATATACAGTATGATATCTTTCATTCTAACTCCATTATCACCACTTCTTTGACAACGAAGAAACAATTTTTGTGTGTTGGCTTCTATAGATATCGTAGTAGCCATGGATGAGGATATACATATTTGACAGTTGTATATTGCATCATTATCGAAGTTATTCCCAAACTGATCGAGTGATCGCCAATTAATCACACAAAAAATGTTTTTCTAGACTGGAAACATTGGTGATAAAGAAGTGAACATAAAAGATATCACCCTCCATATATATTTTTTTGTGATGACATGAATTCCCTGATTCCGAAAAAAATATAAAAAACAGGGTGTTCCGTTTGAAAAGAATAATTTGTTGTCGGTCTCGCGTTTAGGGATCATCCTGTAAAACTTCTGATAAGGGCTGTGAAAGGGTCTCATTGCGGCATTCAACTTGCGCATTGTTTTTTTTCTCAATGAAAGAATAACGTTAACGTTAACATAGGGGTCTTTTCGATGGATAACCCTGTACACTGTGTGTGTGTGTGTGTGGTTGAGACTGAACTGTATCTCAGCTATTATTGAAGATAGAGACATGCAATTTCTTGAAAAAAATTCAGAATACGCCACTGACTGTAAAAACATCTATTATAAGCAGTTTTCATTTTTTTCCATCTTATACAGGGCCTGAGAAATATTAACATCTCCAAAAGTGAACATTTCCGTTTTTGCCCTGTATTTCAGGAACAAAAGTAGTTGGAATATTTCTGCTTTTGACTTCAATGTCAGAAAACCATATAATAACAGCGTAATCGCAGATAATTTGCAATAAAGGAATGAATAGCCTAATCCTTTATTGCAACATTTGTATGTATGTAAACACTATCACAACTAACTTACTAACCTGCGTTCATCCTGCCATAATATTACAAGTATTTTTTTGCCATCGTGTTATCCTCGTGAAACATTCTAATTTCACCCTGTTTAAAATTTTGAATATGGATTTATTGAGTTTTACGGTATATGAATCTTCAAATTCCTAATCTATATAGTAGGAAAATGAAGAAGCTAATGACCAGTGAGCATAATGAAGAAGAACAAGAACAAAACATTGGATTTTCAATTTCGACCTTTTTTAAAATCATCTATATTATATCATGTAACGGTGGTCGCAAGGACATATTTGTTGTCATTCCAGGAAAACATTATGAAAGTGTTCGATGAATCAGTTGAATGAGCCGATATCTAACAAAATACCTAAATAAAAAAACCTGATTGAAATAAAAGTATCCTGTTTCTATCAGCAGGAATCGAACCCACATCGAGAAATCTAGGCCCAAGCATATTGTTTGTATTTGTCTATCAGTCTAATGATATTTTCCTGAAATAACTATTTGTCTGCCACATCTGCATTAATATACAGGGTGTTTTTTATATATTGCGACAAAATTCAGGAACGTGTTCTTTGGACAAAAATTCGCAAAAAAGTTCCTATAAACATAGGTCCTAAACCTTTTAGATTTTGAGCTACAGGGTGGTAAAGTTTTAACAAAAAAATGATTTTTTTTCGATAACTTAAATACCCCTGTAGATATTTGTCCAAAGATTGGTATGCAGGGTCTGTGTATCCAGAGCCATTTACCAACATACTTTTAACATTTTTATGTTCTCCATTGGCGTGTGTGCGGGTTTTCCGCTGAATACTTTTATAAAGAAAAATGGTACGCCACTGGTTTTTCTTGTATTAAAAAATATGTTCAAATTCCCCGTTTTATTTGCAACATTTTTGATCCCTTGGACTTTGTCCGTTAGATGCACGGTTTTCGCACAAAAAATTAGAAACCATGGACATGTTGCTCAGATTTGATTAGACTTTCTTTATTCTAGTAATTATTCTTTTTTTTTAGTTTATTGCAATTTTAATAATAAAAATAACATTTTTATTAATCAATTTAGTACAAAAGCCAGCCCAATTCAATAAAATTGTAATCGAGGATTTAAAACTTTTGCTTCTACAATCTTTAATTCAAAATAAAAGTTTTTAAGTGATGAAAAATATTTCATTTTTTATTATTTATTTAAGTAATATTATTATTTTTACAAAAGTTGTTCAAAGTGTGCTCCTCCAACATCAATACAAGCATCTAATCGACGTCGCATTGATTGGCGGACACGTTCAAAAATTCCTGGTGTCTGCCGAATTATGTCACAAGACGTTATAATACGATTACGCAATTCCTCCACATTATCAATTGGGTCTTTATAAACCAGTGATCTAAGGTGTCCCCACAAAAAAAAATCCAGCGGATTTAAGTCGGGAGACCGTGGGGGCCAAGGGTTAATACCTCCCCGACCTATCCAACGATTTGGATACGTAATATCCAAATACTGCCGAGCCACTAAACTAAAATGGGCTGGAGCACCGTCATGTAAAAAAAACATTTGCTGTCTCAGCTGAATGGGGACATCTTCTAGCATCACTGGTAATTCATTTTCAAGAAATTCTTGATACACTTGTCCAGTCAACCTTGCTGGTAAAAAAAAATGGACCGATGAGAAAGTTTTCAATAATGCCGACCCATACATTAAGTGAAAACTGGTGCTGATGACGGTTTTCTGCCACAGCATGTGAGTTCTCATAATGCCATATGTGGTTATTGTGGAAGTTCATAATTGCGTCCCTGGAGAAATTAGCCTCATCGGTGAAAAGTATTTTTCTTATAAACGGTGCATCTTGCCTTATGCGTTCTTGCATCCAACGACACAAAGCCGTTCTTTTCGGAAAATCGCCTGGCAAAAGTGCCTGCACCCGCTGAATATGATACGGGTATAAAAGGTTTCTTTTCAGAATATTCCAAACTGTAAAGTCACTAATGTGTACCGTCTGAGCAATTTTCCTAGTGCTTGTGGTGGGATCTTCCTCGAATTCATTGAGCACCTGTTCTTCAATTTGAGGAGTAACTGTTCGGGGATGTCCTTTTTCAGCGGTGAGTTTTTTAAAGCTGCCGGTTTCACTTAGACGTTGGTGTAAACGCGTAAACATGGAGTGATGAGGAATAACACGATTCGGGTAACGTTCAGCATAAATACGCAAGGCTTCTCGTGCGTTTCCGTTAGCCAGTCTATAAATGAAGTGCATGTCGCACATTTCATTATTTGTGTAATTGTTAGCCATTTTTTTAACAAATTAATCTTGTCAACTTGTACTTAAATTATTAACTTTGATATTAATTTTGACGTCTTAAACAAGAATGTGATTATCGTTGCGGCGGCGTTGTCCGTAGTTACGTTGAAAAAAATTATGTCCACAGGCTACTTCGCGATTTTGGAAGCGTGAAATATTAACACGTTACTCATATGTCACTTTTTTAACATGTCAAATAAAGTGACATATTATGAACTACAATGAAATTTTAAATAAAATTAAAAAAAAAACTTACTTTTTATAACGATCATAGAAATAATAAATTTTAGCGATCAGTCAAAGTAGATGTTTTTTATTTTTTTGTGCGAAAACCGTGCATCCAACGGACAAAGTCCAAGGGATCAAAAATGTTGCAAATAAAACGGGGAATTCAAAAATATTTTTTAATACAAGAAAAACCAGTGGTGTACCATTTTTCTTTATAAAAGTATTCAGCGGAAAACCCGCACACACGCCACTGGAGAACATGAAAATGTTAAAAGTATGTTGGTGAATGGCTCTGGATACACAGACCCTGCATACCAATCTTTGGACAAATATCTACAGGGGTATTTAAGTTATCGAAAAAAATCATTTTTTTGTTAAAACTTTACCACCCTGTAGCTCAAAATCTAGAAGGTTTAGGACCTATGTTTATAGGAACTTTTTTGCGGATTCTTGTCCAAAGAACACGTTCCTGAATTTTGTCGCAATATATAAAAAACACCCTGTATAAAAAACAGGTTTCATAATTCATTTGACCCATTGGAGAAGAGAAAATGACAATCAAACAAAATACATATTTGCGGTTCAAATATTTATGCATATATCATCTTCAATATTACATTGGATTGTGTTTGTTCACATGTGAAAATTTGCCATGCTGCAAACTGTATAACTTAATACTATGTTTTGAGCCAAATTTCCATTGGACCACGTTGTATATATTTTCTATGAATTAATTAATTTCTCATTCGATCTTCCATCTGTCTTAGCACTTATCTAGTAGATATGTGATGCAAAGTCCATGTACAACATATAGGTACTAATTTCGAGTGAGATATGCAATCGGTCTTGCAAAATATGAATATAATTTGAGATGGAAAAATATAATAATTTTATTCTAGATAGGTATAGTTGAATGTATATTGAAATAGAACAACATCCGTTTCAAGGTATGTTTGACTACAGAAATAAGTACTTTCAGAGTTGTACTTGTGAAGTGAATGACTTTGATTGATGGACAATTTTTCGTAATTTGGTAGTGGATAATTCACATGACTTATATTTTCATTATTTTCACATAAATTCGAATATATCCCAAAGTATCTATAGTCAACGATACTCGTCACATTAAATGAAAAATGTGTCCGAAAATGTAGATGTGAACATTTTTTTAGTTCAAGTGCTATATCCTTAATATTCATCATTTTTTATCATCCCATGCAGTACTCCTAGTTTTGAATAAAACTAGAACTTCCGCCTTTCAATAACGTCTTGAAAAAACATCAAAACTGGAAATATTTATATCAAATAATTTCATACTAATTATCATATTAGTTCTTTAATTACCTACGTGGCCGGCCGGCCATGTTAGATTCATATCTCATATCATTCGTGATGATAATTTGGCATTCCCAATGTCATCAAATAACTAGTTTAATTTAATATCTAAATTTTAGTTCTTGATTTTCAGATTGATTCTTGATTTGGCACCTTCTTCAGTGCCCTGGAACTGCTGAGATAGTACGTGACATCTTTGTCAAAAATCATTATAACACTATTAAAACAAGAGAGATAGAAACGTTGATCTGAAGTGAATGTAAAATAGCTTTGTCGAGTATAAAAAAAATCCTTGGGATTTTACAATCGCTTACATGTATTTGTGATCGTGTTCATAATGATTATTACAATTCATTGAAATTGCTGCTAATCATTTTATTGTCTTTATTGTGATAATAGGAATGAATGAATTATTCTTTAGGGTATGTTGTTACCTTATAGGTCCCTACTGAAAGTTCATAGTTTGCAGAGTTACTCTTCATTATCATAATCATTACAGGATATGCTCATCACCATAATAACCATAATATTTTGTAACGTTCCTCAGATTTTCAAGTGAATAATGATTGGCAGTCGGCATTAACAGTTGTAGTTTCTTACCTCAATCAATGATCGAATCGAACATGGCCCTTCATCAAGAACATTAAAGTGTGCGAAGAATTGGTAGATAAAATAGTTTTTGTATCGGAACCCAATAGTCAATCATGTATTCAGAACAATAAAATTAATGCATTCTGATATCACCAGAAGACACTTTGGATAAAAACAAAACCTATGCATTCAAAGTTATTTTCAACTTTTTCAATGAATCATGTATAGAGGCGTCTAATTATTTAAAAAAACAGTATCCACCCAACTTCTGCAGAATATATCTCTATTCACCTTCCATAAATGATAATTTTGCTATCGATAGAAATAATAAAAAATACTCTACTTTTACTTTGAATCATGAACATGCACAATTCTCAACACAGTGTGCTATTCTATTTTCCTTCATTATGATCATTCAAATTTGCAGCTTGTAGTTATTCATTCGTTTCATCTATACGACAATGAGCGAATTGACCCATATCTGAGTAAGATTTAAAACAAATCTGCATACTTATTACTTTCGCGCATTCTCAAATAATCGTTAATTTCTTTTCAAGAAGACACTCGAAAACTCTGAATTCAAAGAGAAAGCTGGATGTATATTCCGACATTCTGGCCTTGACCCAGACATAGAAAGTTCGTACTTGACCGCTGCCTTAATTTCGATCAATGAGTATATTCTTTCATGACACAATAGAGATACACGGTAATCAGTGTAGAAGAATGCATGTGCACTTCACAACACAGAATATTGGATGATTAGATTTGCTGGTAATTGTTGATCTTCACTTTGTTGCATATTGAAACAATTATAGTGACTCTTCTCTTAATTATTTATATGCATATACTTTTCAAAGGTAATGACGTTTAATGACGGAAAAACATTTATATAATCAAGGCTTTAAGCTAATCTGTGGAATTTGGAAAAAATCAATAGTCATTTGTTGGCATGGCACTCATATCATCATATAGGCCATTAACAACTTAGAAAAAATGTTTGAAGTTGATGTATTTGAGGTTTTTATACGAATTGAAGTGATGCAATTTTTGGACAATGGCAATATTGGTTTAAGAAATCCAGTATGACGCAGTAAAATCTGAAATTAGGTGTTCATTCTCATTTTTCTGGATATCTGTATCTAATTCTGCAGGAAATCTTTTGTTTGCATTAAATAAATCTCTTCAACCATTTAGGTATACCTATACCCTATGGGTTATATTTGGAATTGGAATTACAGATAACAACAAATTTAAATTCATATGAGAAGAATTAGATATATCTCTTTGGATGAAGGCCCGAATTTTCTCTGAATAATTAATGGTACATAAGTGATAAGTCTTCAATCCAACATTTTGGTCCTCATAGGTATCAAGTTATTGAGTATAGATCACAGAACTCAAAGACCCTATCATATTCCGTTCATGAAAACACTATTATTCCCACTGTTTTTTAGGATTTAGTGTTGGGGATGAGCTGGGATTCAAAGAATCTCTCTCGAATGTAGAAACGAATAGGAGGAGGTCTACTTCAGCTTCGAAATTGCAAGCTCAGCTGATACAAGCACAACAAAACGCCAAGAAGATGGTGAGTTATCCGTATCGATAGATCTATTGACCATTTATATGTGCAATATTATACAAACCCATATTGTTCAATTATTCTATATAACAATTCTTCATTATCATCGATTGGAAAACAAAATTTTTACTGATATGTCGATATCGATTGAAGAACATTGTATGTAATGATGCAATTTGAGAAAGTTCAAAAGTAACTTCTCAAATGAATCTGTTTAAAAAAATACGAGGTGTAAGAAGAGCGACTTGTAGAACTTTGTAAAACATACTGTATGGGATTTGTTGTATGTATATGCAGGAAACTTCAACAAATCACTTTATCAAACTTTATATAGGTTACTATGAGTTAATCAATCAATCACTCAATATATGTAATAAGTTCAATCTCCAAGTATGGAATCGACATTGTTGAATAGGTTAACAAAGAAGCTTTCTACAAATAGAAGAAACAATTATAATAATATCAGGATGCAACTATGTTTCATGATGAAAACAAATTCAATGATTTTGCGGAGATCAATCTGAAGAAGAAGTATTCAGTCATGAGCTTATTTATTCATGAGTCTTGATATTCATTGATAGTTGTCTATTTTCACTCAAGAGGTTAACATTGCATCCATCATTTATAGGTGCAAAAAAACGTTCGTACTTTCTCAATCAATATTCATGCTCTTGAATTTCCTGCAAAACAAAGTACGATAACATTAATGTGCTATGTCAAAGAAGGTAATTTTAAGTGCATTACGAGTCGACCTCCAAATGTATTGTTGAATTATGAACCATACAATGTTTATTTTATCTGGAATCGTTGCTTCGTTGCAACATTTTTGATAAATTTCTAGTCCAATGTTACAAGGTATTCTTACAAAATGAGTACCTATAGCTACAAATTATTTCGGTGGGTTAATGTCTGATACTTAATTGGAATAGTTATAATTTGGATTGATTAATTGACGAATGATTTCCAAATACTCAAACATGTCGAGTGCATACAAAATCGACCAAATTAATTCAATGATTCAGTCAATGTTTATTTTTCTCATTCGTGCTTTCGAACAACATTACAAAAACTTCACCATCAATGTAGTAGAAAATGAATTGTTACTATACTTAATATACAACATAGATAACAGATTGGAGTATTGCGATATGTGTAGAAATTCATCTGAAATCACTTTCTACACCCTACACTTTTTGTATAGATTCCTAATATCATCGAGGATTACACTCTTCATAGCAGCAATTATACTCTACCCATCACATATCTCTAATGGAATATAAACCCAATCAATGAATGAGAGAAATGATGTAATATCCCAGTTTTATTGATTTTTCAGAGTAATTCGCTCACAGTTAGATCACCAAGTGCCTCAGTCTCCTCGAGATCCGATTCTTCTTCACATCAGATCATCCCCCCATTAGCATCAGGAGCAGTCCGAGAAACTTTGAAGAAGTCCTTAGCCACCCAACTTCCACCCTTCAAACCTATACCCCCCGCCGATGAGCGACCAGCCTTACCTCCTTCCATCTCTCAACCATCTCTGATGGGTATTGCAGTTCCTGCTTTCTCAGCTATGCCCTCTTCTATCTCTCGTTTTTCCGTAGGTAACCCTGGTAGTCCTAAGGTGATGGCCGTAGTAGCAGTCCCTAAAAAGCAATCGCAACTTCACGCTATGGATAAGATAGGAAGTAGTCACTTTGCTGATAGAACTTTGCCTTCTCTTGATGACCTTCCCGAACCTATACCCCAACACTCTTCCAACTCCATCCAAGCACTTCTAGCTGCCAATAACGTCACTGAAGAAACCCTGGAGGCAGCATTGTTGCAAAGACAGCAGCAGCTGTTGCTTAGAAGAGCTACTAGCACTACGACCACAACCTACAGGCCTACTTCAAAGTATGCCAACAGTGTGGGAAAGGTTATGAATGCTCCCAAGGAGTATTACCCAGTGGGCTACGATAAGAACTTCGATGACAATTTTGCTTCAAGGGTGGATTTGCCTGAGACATCGTTCTATTGTGGTGATCAGAAACATTTTCCAGGGTTGTATGCCGATGAAGATCTAGGATGCATGGTATGTAGCTTTCGATTATAAATGTGACTACACTGCTTTCGTTCCGTATCAAATATAACTACTCTCATTGAATTTGTTACCTGATTGGCGAAGTTCATATCTTGGTTATATCATTGAAGAAGAAAACTGTAGAGGCATCGTATTTATGCAGGACTGAAATAATTCTTTCAGTTTAGGTAATTCAGACATTTCTTGGTAATCTTCCAGTTATTGAAATAAGTATACAGCTGCTGATTCATTCAATCACTGACGTTGTTTCATTCATCATTTATTTATTATTGGGGTGAATCATATATTGTCTTTGAATGACGAATCAATTAAAGTAGTCGGAAGAATATGATGAAAGCTCGTTTCATCGACTTTCGATTTTTATGGTCAGTTTCAGTTATACCCATTCCTCTCGGAATAGTTACATGGTGAAATAATTTTTCTCTCTTATAAATGCGGAATGTTTCATTTATGTCATTGTGTTACATTCGTTGATATCCTGGTAACATCTAGAGGTTGTTTACCAAAAACTGATGTGAGTTCGATTAAACATAACTGGATATTCTACGAAGATGAAACAAAGATAAAGGCATATCGAAGACTGGAACCTTTGGCACGATAATACACTACACTGTTTTACCACTAACCAAACCGATTTTTTAACGCCTCGACACGTGTTTCGCTAACTATGTTAGCATCTTCAGGAGAAGATTAAAACTAAATATCCTATTCTACTGTGCTGCTTATATACTAGGTATATGTTCACCCAACTGTGAAAAATACTAACCGTCAAGTTAATATTTGTCATGGTTGAGTTCACATGTTATCTTAATTTACTAAACTATATAGAGGGCTATATGGAATAGGTCCATTATCCTTATTCATTACTCTATCACTATTCTTAAATATCTCTAAGCTTTCATATGCGTCTAGTTTTCTAATGTTATTAACTTGCTTAACTAATTTGAGGTTAGTAATATGTGTGTTATGATTGTGATTGAACATATGTTCGGCTACACAAGATTTATCTAACCTGCCATATTTTAAATGAGCTATGTGTTCTTTGAACCTTGTTTTTATGGGTCGCCTGGTTTGGCCTATATATGTTTTATCACAATCATTACAACTTATTTCGTATATTCCCGACTTTTCAAGTGTGTCCACTTTATCTTTCGGATTGCCTAATAAATTGCCTAATTTTGACCCAGACTGATAAACGCTTTCAAAACCTAAGTCTTTGAAAACCTTATCAAGTCCCTTCGTATACTTGGGATTGTACGGGATTGGGATTCTTCTAGAGTTCTTTTTATCCGCTTGAAAAGTCGTAGAATATCGAAGTGTTGACTTAAATTTATGTCTACGTATTAATTTATCTACTATTTTGATATCATACCCATTGACGCCAGCCACTTTATAAACAACATTTCTTTCAGCATTGAATCTTTCTTTGCTGAGAGGAAAGGAAATCAATCTGTGTACTAGAAAATTTAAACTTGCCATTTTGTGCTGAAAACAGTGATTGGAGTCATTAGGTATGTATCTAAATGTGTTAGTTTCTTTTCTAAAGACATCAAATTCTAAGTTGTTTTCGCTATTTTTGATCACAAGTACATCTAAGAATGGTAATTTGCCTTGATTTTCGCATTCATAAGTGAATTTGATAGAGGGGAAGCAGTTATTCAATTTTGAAATAAAGTTATCAATATCTGTGGTTTTTGTACCCAAGTGTACCAAGACTATATTGTTTACCAAAAATACACAAACCCGGTAAGAAAATGAGGCCAATTGTATCCGCAATTGGGTCTCCTACTTACAATATTTCAAAGTGGTTGGTTGAAGTTTTCAAAACTTTGAATAATCCTTATAACAATCATTCTGTTACAAATTCGCTTGAATTTATCGAAAAGGTCAAAGGGTTGAATCTGACCGAAGGTGAAATCCTTATATCATTTGATGTTTCATCACTTTTCCCAAGTGTACCCATACCAACAACTTTGGAATATTTAAAGGAATTACTCGAATATAACAATCTAGATCCAGATAATATTAAAGAATTGGTTGATCTCACTAATCTCTGCATGAGCCAAAATATTTTTCAATATAAACAAGAATTTTTTGAACAACATGAAGGTACAGCTATGGGAAATTGTTTATCGCCTTTCCTGGCTGAACTGTTCATGAATCGATTTGAAGGGAATGCAAAAGAAAAGTTCGAGTATTTCCCTAGGGTTTGGATTAGATATGTCGATGATATTTTTGCTATTTTTGATACAAAAACCACAGATATTGATAACTTTATTTCAAAATTGAATAACTGCTTCCCCTCTATCAAATTCACTTATGAATGCGAAAATCAAGGCAAATTACCATTCTTAGATGTACTTGTGATCAAAAATAGCGAAAACAACTTAGAATTTGATGTCTTTAGAAAAGAAACTAACACATTTAGATACATACCTAATGACTCCAATCACTGTTTTCAGCACAAAATGGCAAGTTTAAATTTTCTAGTACACAGATTGATTTCCTTTCCTCTCAGCAAAGAAAGATTCAATGCTGAAAGAAATGTTGTTTATAAAGTGGCTGGCGTCAATGGGTATGATATCAAAATAGTAGATAAATTAATACGTAGACATAAATTTAAGTCAACACTTCGATATTCTACGACTTTTCAAGCGGATAAAAAGAACTCTAGAAGAATCCCAATCCCGTACAATCCCAAGTATACGAAGGGACTTGATAAGGTTTTCAAAGACTTAGGTTTTGAAAGCGTTTATCAGTCTGGGTCAAAATTAGGCAATTTATTAGGCAATCCGAAAGATAAAGTGGACACACTTGAAAAGTCGGGAATATACGAAATAAGTTGTAATGATTGTGATAAAACATATATAGGCCAAACCAGGCGACCCATAAAAACAAGGTTCAAAGAACACATAGCCCATTTAAAATATGGCAGGTTAGATAAATCTTGTGTAGCCGAACATATGTTCAATCACAATCATAACACACATATTACTAACCTCAAATTAGTTAAGCAAGTTAATAACATTAGAAAACTAGACGCATATGAAAGCTTAGAGATATCTAAGAATAGTGATAGAGTAATGAATAAGGATAATGGACCTATTCCATATAGCCCTCTATATAGTTTAGTAAATTAAGATAACATGTGAACTCAACCATGACAAATATTAACTTGACGGTTAGTATTTTTCACAGTTGGGTGAACATATACCTAGTATATAAGCAGCACAGTAGAATAGGATATTTAGTTTTAATCTTCTCCTGAAGATGCTAACATAGTTAGCGAAACACGTGTCGAGGCGTTAAAAAATCGGTTTGGTTAGTGGTAAAACAGTGTAGTGAAAGATAAAGGCGTTTTAAGTCGAATCATCATTGACTGAAAATATAATGTAGGTAGACACATGCTCCAAATTTGTTCGGAAAAATGTTGACATAAATTTATATTAACTTGTAAACGAATATTACCAGTGAAAAGAATTACTTATTGCAACTTCTGATTAGGGGCAATTTTCAAAATTGATCCTTCCATAATATAAATAACAACTCTTATTACGAAATTCTTGGGTATGGTAGCGAAAAAATGGCTGCAATTGGATGTTAAATATTCAAATGGAATAATTTAGTTGGTTTGTTATAGATTATATTGTTTGGTTTATTCAATTGCAGCGACTTATTACCGCATTTCTGGGGCCTTTCACTATATTAATTGAATAAATATATAGGCACCTATTACTTATATATGGACATCTTAGAAGTTGATGATATATAGATACATAATATGTCAATTCATGAGAATCACTCGAAATATAGGAATTCTTGTAAAATAAATACGTATTACGAAAGGCTCGATGGATCCTTATTGTAATCAGTAGGCAAATAGAGAGAATAACCTTGGATTTTGATGATGATGTATAAGCAGATTTATATACTTTCAGAATTACAAAATTCTAATAAAAAACTTCATTTCATCTCGCCAAATTGATAGGAGGATTTAAAAAAAGTCATAATAATTTCAGAAACAAAATTAGGAAATCTTCTTCGTTCAGTTTTTATATACTTACCCAGTTGATGATCTTTTAATCATATTTTGAAACAGTGTAATGTGGAAAATAGCATTTTGTCATTATGTCATTCAAATATGAAGTGGACTTTGTATCCATGATAATTGATTAAAGAAGAACTTAACTACAGTAACTCAGCTCTTTCAAAATTCGGTTAAATTGTTTGTATCCATTATCCACAGGGTAGGAATTTTCGAAATTGAATAAATAAATGAAATGAGATGTATGATATAATATAGTGAACATTAGTTGAAATACATGTGCGCACTCACACATCGAACATATTTTCACTTAGTATTATATGGAATGGAATTATGGAATGTCCGACAACATTGCGAAAGTCATTGATACATCCGGTATTTCTGTATATCAGTATATGTATATATAAATGAGTCTTTCATTCGCAGAAAGTTATGTTTCCTATGAAATGATGTTCCTAATGAATTTTCCAGGTATTCCACGTATGTGCTCTGACAGACGATGGTCTCATAATGAAGAGTTTTCTTTGTCCAGAATCAACACTCTTCGACAACACAGTTTTGAAGTGCAATTGGTGGTTTTACGTGGACTGCAAAAATTCTAAGAAACACTATGATTCGAACATTCCTATATCAAAAAGTTATCAACTAATGAAAGCTCTGACATTTTTCTCAGAGTATAAAAAAGATTCGACTACCCAAAAATCGAATGAAAAAGACTGATAGAAAATGTTAAACTAGAATATTTCAATTATCATTTTCATAATGCAAGGGGTCGTTCTCAGAATGAAATATTTTACAGCAAACGGTAGAATATAACAATTACAGTAGTATTCAATTTAGTTCTATAACTTCTGTGAAATGAAAAATTATTCTATACGTTTCCTGACATCTATACTATACACTAGAGTTGTTTGCTTAGAAAGTAGACCGCAATATTCGAATATGACCTGATCAAGAATAAATCACAAACATAATCAGATTTCAAATGATTATCTGTTGGAATTATACTGGTCAAAATTTTTTTAAGTGACATAGGTCTCTTCTGATGATGATAATTCCTTAGATCTAAATGCCAGCACTCTCTCTATATATCAACAGAGTGATTTCTGGATTCATTCTCTTTATGAATTAAAAAAAAAGGAACATTGGAACAAAAATGTCCAAGTTGAGACTCTCGAGTGGATTGTTCGAAATGAAGGTGACAAATTAGGCTGAATTAAAACCGAAAGTTACTATACATTAACTGGTCTCTTCAAATTGATATCATTTCTATAATTAAGCTATATAATGTATTCAAATAATCATGAACAGAGTAGACCTTGAAAATCAACAATCTGAAAGTATTTCTCATATTATAAATAATAACTACTTCATAAAAATGTTATTGAGACATTTGATATTGAATCTTGGAATAAGGGCATTTGAAAACGACTTCTTGCAAAATTGCTCAATCTAAGTCTTCAGGAATGAATGTTATTGGTTTACGTTTTTATTTATGTCAGGTGCTCAAATATACTATAGGTACTTACTTCGTATTGTCTAATACCTACTGATAACCACAGGATGTTCCAAAAGTGCCCGCCCAATGTACCTCAAAGCGAACAAAAAATATATCTGGCTCAAATTTTTCGTCTTTGACATACAGAATGAATTTACTTTTTATTTACATATTTCGTTTAATTGATGCAAGGTGGCTGCTTATTTCGATGAGTTATCAGTCAAATAGAAGATTGGATACGATGTATTATCCAAATTTATGACATATGTTTTCCTATAGTTATTTCGGATATATATATTGTATATGAATTCAAACTCATCCATTGTTAAATGTGTATATAAGTTTTTTGAAATGTATAATTTGTTGTTATACCAATACCAAATGTATGTACAGATTTGTCAGTGCCTATAGATTGTTTATTATATATTTTTATTGTTGGAAAGTACTTGAATAAAACTAATTTATTGAACAAATGTCCGAATTCACTTTATTATATTTGTGCGTTCATCTTTGAGATGCCACAACGCAAACTTCACAAAAAATGTCGATATTTCCATTGTACATAATTTGTTGATTTCTCACTTATATCGTTCTTATATAATCTAACAATTTTTTATGGGCTATTTTCCGAACCATGAACTCTATCGCAACCGAAGTGAGAGCTGACCTACTGATCATAATAATTTATAATCATCGTTTTTTTTTCAAATTTGTCAATCGAAAGGTCAATTATACAATGAGTCTCAAGTCACTTGAGAAAAAAACATTATTTGTACAGGTAGGTCAACCAGAAGTAATGATATGAAGATATTATAGGGATAGCAACGACATCTATAATTTTAATTGACCAAAATAGTATTCACCAAATGGAGAACAGGAAAAATATCTTCCTTTATTATAGTTATATACAGGGTGTTTCAGGGTGGGCTCTTTGCTTGGGTAGGTAGAACATTGCAAAATAAGTTGGTTTTGATCAGTAAAAAATGTCGTAACGGCATCCGTATTCGTGATTTTTTTCACATTTTTCACGATTCGGTATGTCGAAACTACTGGCAAAATGAGAATGCTCCTTTGTATGGATAAGTTTTCATATCTGACTCTCATGGAGGGCGCTATAGTCACAGCATACCAAGTAAATAGTTTTCATAAATGTTTTAAGTGAACATTTCGTGTGAACTTGAACATCATTCAATTCTACGCCAAAAAGATACTCTTGATGAAAGTCAATGCTGCAAGTGTTCCATTTTCGAAATATTTTGATTTGAAAATAATGATGTACTGATAATAATAATAATAATTATCGTCTTCATCACTCACAAAAACATACATCAGTCTAATAGTAATAATAATAATTAGCCTGACAATAATAATAATAACACCTACTGATAATTGTCACTGGATTGAAAGTAAAAGACGAAGTTCAGAGTTTAGGTGGGGATAAAAAGTGATACTGATACTGGTATAAAAAGGGTATTATTGAAATCAATTACCTATTTATTCAAAATCAAAAACATAACATAGTGCTTATGGTTAATGATGTAATTGATTGAACAAAGAATCACATGAAGCAAATCAAGATAAATTCGAATAAAAACATAAAATAAAGAATCAGTTAGAATAAATTATTCAAAATTATCTCCGTTTTCACGAATATACCATTCCATAATTTTTTATTAAGAATGCATTATTCTTCTAAACGATTGAGGATCAGCTGTGAGGTCATTCAAGTGATGTTCAAATGTGTCTTGCAAATCTGGACGTTTATTTATCACTAGAGCATATTATAGGTACTTTGTTCTCAAGTTATACCTAGCATGTGTTCCGTTAATCAACCGAGGTTACCGATGCTTTCAGTGCTGGTACCAACAATTTTGACAGTGGTTATCTAATGGTGACTACGGTTGTCGTTCATTTACGAAATGCCAGTCAATTGTCAAATTATAGTTTTGATCGTTTTTTAAACATTCATGCTCTTCCAGTATCTGATTTTTAATTACCTATGGCACCCAAAAGTCCCTAATTATTGTGCATAGTAAGTATAAGCAAGGGATGTAGTGTTCTGAAATAGAAAAAAACGTCATCAAACTGAAAATGAACCGAATATTGTTAATTTACCTCTAGTAAACGAATCCATCGGAACTTAACGCAGCAGTTATTGAAATAATAATGATAATAACAATGATAATAACAATAATAATAGGAATATTGTTCCTCGTTGTAATTTGTAAATCGACGCATCAAACCGAAAAATGAAAACACGTCAACGTCAACTCAATCTTTCAGGAACCAACCGAACATTTCATATTCACGGAATGGTAAACTACAAACCGAAATAACCAAGTTGATTTACGGAACATATCCCTGGTGACACGACTCATGATATACCATCCTTTTCTCCTTTGTTTTCTAGCTATATTTCTGAAATTTGGAACATCTGATTTGCTCACTAAAGGGCACTTTCTCACATTTCAGGATTTCTTTCCTCTTCCGGTTTTCCTGGAAATGACATCAACATTCGATTTTATAATCAGTTAGAGACTATTATAACGAATTCAACGATACTGGGTCTGATTGAGATGGAAGTGACGCACAATATCGTTTAAGTTCTGTCTCTATCACACTCATTGAGCAAATGAAAACTTAGAACGCAAATATCTTCGTAATCGTTTGAAATAACTCAATCAAACCCGGTATCGTTGGATTCGTTATAATAATAACCGATTATGGAATAAAATATATTATTTGACAATCAATTCAATTCGATGTTATTCTTATGATTCATTTTTCAATAAATAACTTCAGCATTAGAAATGTCTTGTGGTTTTCGGTTTTAATAAATCCGTAATGAATCAGCAATAGTTCCTGATAATATCATATTCAAATCAATTCGAAAACGGTACAATAAAATATTCCTCTACGAGAGTCAGATATAAATTATGAATTCATGCAATGTGTCGTTTTCTTAAACATTTGCATACAGGATTTCATTGAAGATGTTGCCAGCAGTAACGACATCATCATAATAAATGTGTATAAACATTGTTTTCTCAACACCTTGTATCTTATAAAGGGATGCCGCTACGAAATTGTTTTACCGAGCAAGCCTAACTTATTTTTCAATGTTCTACCTACCCTAGCATGGGGCATATTTTTTGTAATATACTGTATATGGGCGCTATAGTATGAAATTCAATTTTGATAAAGCATACATTTATAATAGATCCACGATTCATTTCCTCTGAATCATACATGCATTTGAGTTTATTATTTTTCCATGTTCAACTAATTGGATTTCTGAAATTCGAACTTAGGAATGAAGTTTCGTACATTGTGTGTCATAGTGTTTCAATTTGCTCCGACCCTCATCCCCTGTATTTCCTTATATCTCTTGACATTGAACGGTTCAATTTTTTTTAAATTAAAAATAGGAGAGGTGTATCAGATACTTTTCTCACGGACATATTTTCGATAAGAATCAATGATAGAAGTTTATATCTTGAAGCTAAGTGACATTGGGAAAGAAGGAAGTTTCACTAATCAGTTAATTGAATATTGACTGTTATCTTATAAACATAATCACTATTGATGATTGATCAATAAGTATTTCTGAAATTTCGGAAAAAATAGTGTGGGTGAAACTAAAAAAACAGGGGATTAACTGTAAGAGAATTCCAGTAGAGTCATAACGAGTTTTTGAAATATGTACAGGTATTCTCATTGTTCCTGAAACTATATTGAATTGACTGAAAATGGTAGTTTTCTGTTCTGTGGTTTCAGTCCTAGAAATCCATTGACCCGTAGAAAATCGATACTGAGTACTTAATGGTTTTGAAGCCACGTTTGAGAATTTTGAAGATTTTTGGAAAAAGGGCAAACCTTAATAAGTAGAATCTGATCATGAGTTTCTGACCTACGAGTTCCTATTAGGGCGCATGAATATTCAATAATTTATATGGAAAATGAAAAATTCCATATTTTTTTCAATACGATCAGAAAGTGTTTGAATATTATTCTACTCAATTTTGGTGGATTCGAGAATAATCATGACAGCAGTTTCCAGATGATAATCTTGGAATCATCGTGTACCTCATCACATATTATACAGGGAATACAGAAATACTGTCATTACCTCAGCGGATGATACCTATCAGGGCTTGCTGGAGAATGGGTTGGAAAATGATACAAGAATGAAAAAAATATAACAGAATTATAAAAAAGTACATCGAATAAATACATTATAGATCAAGTTGTACAATTGGTATTTTCGTAAGAAAATTAAAAGAATTCTTCAGTCCCATAACTTCAAACCTGAATCCTGCACCTCAGTCCTCATATCGAATATTCCGAATGCTTTATATCAATTTTCGAAGAAAAACCATAGGTAGTTCGAATTTTTAACCTTTTTAATTAAAATTTTTTGAACCAGTAAAAAAATTAACAAGTGAACTGAAACTTTCTTTTAATTTTCTCCATAATATAAAGGGTGATAGAAACTATTTTCTTCGTAAGATGCATCAGCTATGTACTTCGAGCCTCCCGCTGAACTTTTCCCACCTCCAGAACCACTATTAGCACCCCCAGATCCTCCTTTAGCCCCATTTCCTCCCTGCTTTCCACCATCTGCAGGCTGCGGCGGAGGTGGCGGCGGTGGTGGAAGAGGCTGCTTTCCCGCATTCTTCGCCAAGCCAGCTGCCGCTGCAGCAGCTGCCGCAGCCGCATTCGCAGCAGCCGCTTGGGCGGAAGCCTGAGCTTTCTGAGCTGCCGCTCTTGTTGCTTCGAAGTCTATCCTCACTGCTGCTAGCTGCTTTCCTAGGGCTTGGAGTCGGTCCATAGCAGATCCTACCATGGCTTGTTGGGCAGCTAACTCCCCAGCAGCCTCCGAGGCTGCCTGGGTCACGTGATCTGCCGCAGCCTGTGCTGCGTTGAGCGTGTTGGTTAGGACTTGGACATGCTGTCTCGCTTCTACTGCTGCTCTCTGAGTTGAATCTGATGCTCTTTGAGCCTGTGGACAGATAGTATATTCATAGGATTGTTACACAATCAGAAAGGACATGTTTCGGTCTCATAAAATACCATCTTCAGCCTAATTGAGAGTTATACAATAAAAAAAGATTGATGTGAAATAATTGTATACAGGGTGAGTCAATAGTGTGTTCTCCTTTGATATTAGCCAAACCGTCAGGTATATAAAAAAAACTCAATTTTTTGAGAGCTATTACCTCAAATTATTTTCATATCTATAGGATGTTCGAATTCCAAGATATTGGCTGATAATGGGTGTTTTTAAATGGGACATCCTGTATATTATTGCATTTTTAAATATTTACTGAAGAGCTGATTTCATCAATGCATCACACTTGGGGTCTAGCGGAAATGATTACAGAGATATAGGGTGTTTAGAATCGAAAATTTCCAAATTTGGGAATTTGTGTGCCAGAATTATTCATTATTGGTCGAAACGGCTCACATGTCCCTATCTCAACGTTTGATTTACTATCTACAGGGTAATCATAAATCTTGAATTTTGTACCACCCTGTATATGTTCCAATTAAGTGTCAGTAGATGGTGAATCAATAGTTGAGAGAGGGACACGTGAGCCGTTTCGACCAATAATAAATAGTGTTGAAAAGGAATATTCTCAGATTGATTATGAACATACAAAAATGGATATATATTTATATAAAGCAATACATGGAAACTTGTGATTTTTATAGACCTCTAATCGCAGATTCGTGATAGAGTCTCAATTTAGAATTTCTTTCCACGCCCTGTATGATGAATGTCAATTTATCATACACTCAAAAGCAATAATAAATAGGTTTAACACAAAAAAATTACAAAGTTGAAAAATGTAGATTTTGAACACCCTATATCTCTATGAACATTTCAGCTAGTCCCCAAGTGCGATACATTGATGGAATCAGCTCTTAAGGGAGAATGTAATAATATACAGGGTGTCTTATTTGAAAGCACCCGCATTATCAACCGATATCTTGGAATTCGAACAGCCTATAGATATGAAAATAATTCAAGGTGATAGTTCCCAAGAAACCCTATAACTGTTGTAATCGAATTTTTTCTATATATCTGACGGTTTGGCTGATATAGAAGGAGAACACATTATTGACTCACCCGATAATTACTTACTTGGAGTTGAAAAAATGTGTTGCTCCTAGTTGTAAAATTGTTGTCAATGCCCATAGTCGAAAAATCGAGTTTATTAATGAAAAAACGGGCTCTCAATAAATCATGGGTCCATACAATTCATCTTATCGAAATTTCATATACCAAAATTTTTTTTGACAACACCATAAATCAACGGGTTTTCAAAAAGAGGGGTTTCCCGTGGCCATATGAAAGCGCTACTGAAAGAAAATATTATTAAAATTGATGGGGTAAACAGCCAGCACGGTTTCAAATCTACCACTGAAAATGATGTCAAAATAATAGACAATCTTTTTGTGGCTGAAGATGGTCTTTAATAAGACCGAAACATGTCCTTTCTGATTGTGTAACAACACCATTAAAATTTGTGGAGATGACTCCGAGCATTCCTTCCTTTGAAAAATTTCACTCCACTCTGAGCAATATGGACTTCTACCAAATAAGATATAGTATAATGTTTTACGAGTAACGAAAGTACAATTTTTTGAAGCGATAGAAAATTTTACTGTCCACCGAGCTGTCCACAACTTTCAAAACATTTTTTTGACGAGAGAAATACTATACTTTTTCTAAAAGGCTGTTTTATATCATAGTGATATTTCATTTGGCTTTTCAATTGAACAAAAGTAAAAAAATGCATTCTGAAAATAAAAATGATTGCTGTCTTTGTTTATAAATAATTTCAAGTCGTCAAAACATTACATACGAAATAACGTGTTCGCTGATGGTATTCTAGTACAAAATTACGTCTTTTCGTAAAGGGTTGTAGAAAAAATCCATTCTACCATCATCTCTCTATGATATATCTTTTACCGACCTGCATTAGTTGCTGCTGTTCTCCCATAAGAGCAGTTTGTGCATCCCTGTGTTGTTGCTCAAGGCCTTGAAGAAGAATTTGTTTTCCTGCTAAAGCAGCCTGGGCGGTAGCTGAAGCCTGAAATAATTATCGGAAATTCTGTTCATGATAGACAGTTGTGACAAGCGTCATTCGTTATCTTATGACAGTTCAGATTTTCCGATCGCGTGAATGAAAAGACCTATTCTTTGAAAAAATAAAGAGATAGCTCAGTCAACCACTGAGGTAAGTGATATTAAACACATTACCGGATAATTTCCTCATTACCTCTAGATTACAAATGGACTAGACAACAATCCACTGGCCAAAAAAGTGCCCAAAATTGATATGAAATAAAGTTTGCCAAATAATTTCATAAAGTGTTTTTTTTCACATCATAATCTAACGACTTCAGAGTTGAATGATCGAGTAACAGTAGGCAAGAAATTAATAAAGTGCAAATATCCATGTCGATGATTATGTTTCAGTGGTTTATGTAATCACATTTCTTTTTCGATTATTCTATGATAATCTCTCTTTTAGCAAATCTCTTGAACTAAATCGGGCGTGTAATTGAACAAGGAAGCATGTACATCTACCGAGACATTACATTATGTAATCATTAATATTTTTGCATGATTATACGATTTTACATATTCCTATCAATCAATCAATAACATTTATTGTATCCTAAGAGGAATCCTCATTACAAGAAAATTGGTTCGAATAAATACATAAATATAACAGTGTTATTTTAACACAATCTTCTCATGTACGAGACAATAATGACCATTGGACTATGAAGTGGAATAAACATATTATCAGAGTTGGTACGTGATTTTCCTAAATAGAATTTTTGTTTTTTTTTTATAATACGATGATGATATTGTGGAGAAGATTCACTGATGAAAACTGAATTTTCAGATTTTTTCCTCGTTTCCATGACAATGTAAATATGAATATTATTGTAAATACTTATATTATGTAGAGTAGGGAATAATCATCATATGATTTGCCCAGAAATATCACTGCGTTTTGAAATGTCACTATTAGAGACCCTGAAAAAAAAATTCTCAATAGTCACTGACATCTTTTTTTTTTAAATGTTGGAAGAAGTGGAATTAGGATATCAAAAAATTGTCAAATTATCACTTATAGCTTTGGACTATTATATATTGAAATTTTTTCGAAATGGAATGAATTAATATCAAGTCTATCATTTCATTTTGACCCACTCCGTGTGCTCAACAAAAAATAAAAAATTTGAATAATTCATTGCCACGTGAGCCTATTTAGGCTCGGAATAATATGTACGATGATTATGCCTGGGTAACTTTGATTATATTTTTAGTGATTTGCTGATATACAGGGTCCTGCATTTCGTCTTCTATAAGTACCTCAAGTGGAAATTCTGATATTTTGCTGACTTCTGTATCTGTATCATCAAAATATTTTCGATTTTACTAGGTGGCCCAAAAAAGAATAATGATATATTTTTTAAATGTCATGCTAAATATTTTGTTGCACATTTGAGTGCTATTTGTGATACTAGCACATTTTTTGAAACATCTCTATAACCTCCATCCACAACTATGATATCGTTGACTATATCTCGATCAAATCAAAGTTATTAATTTTTTTCATCGAAATTATTGCATCTACAGATGCATACAGAAAAAATCACTGTCACAATTATAGAATTTAAGAAAGAATAATCATAATATCGTTTTGAAAAGAATTATTCTCAGATAGATTATGAACATACATTTGAGTGCTTCTTGTGATACTAGCACATTTTTTGAAACATCTCTGTGACCTCCATCCACAACTATGATATCGTTGACTATATCTCGATCAAATCAGAATTTCTTTCCACGCCCTGTATGATGAATGTCAATTTATCATACACTCACAAGCAATAATATCGTTTGTTGGAAAGATATTTCTGAAGAATTCCCATGCCCTCAAATTATACAGGGCTGAAAATGATTCTTCAATTTTTCAATTCGGAAACTTTTGACTTGATTTTTTTCGACTTTTTCTAATGGAACACTCCATATGTTTTTTGGCCATTCGATGGAAAATCAAAACACGAACATCTTCTACCTCAACATCCATATTGATATTCGTAACCATAATTGAATTATTGTGCTTTGATAATTCCAGGTTGGCCATTTTCATCCATACTCATTCTTATCTAGTGTTGAAACATCAAAAGTCCAATCAATAATTTAGTTAACCTGTTTTTTCATTGAAAGAATTGATACCAGAGTAAAAGCAAACATCAGAAATAGTTCATACAATATATTATGTTATTCACAAAGTAAAAAAGGGCAAAATTTCCATTTTTCAAATATCCCATGAATTCATAGCAAATTGAAAACCAAACCAAGATGATAATAATTCAGAATTCAACTATTTACAACAAATTATGCAAAATGGAGATTCTGTTCTTTTGCCCTTTAAGAATAATTAACTTATGAACTATTTTTGTTTGCTTCGATCCTGGTATCCATTCTTCCAATAGAAAAACTGGTTCACTAAATTGTTAATTGGACTTATATGTTTTAATAACAGATATGGATGTGTATCGATGAAAATGGCTACGAATATCGATATGGATAATGAAATAAAAGATGTAAGTGTTCTCATTTCACATCAAATAGCCGAAAAATATATGGGGTGTTCCATTTGAAAAACTCGAGGAAAATCACTTCGGAAAGTTCAGAATTGAAAGATCATTGTTATCTACCCTGATATTTGGAGGGCATGAAGATTCTTCAGAAATATCAGGCATGATTCCATCAAATGATATATTATGATTATTTTCTCTCAAATTTCATGATTGTGACGACAGTGATTTTTTCGGTATGCATCTGCAGATTACATTATTTCGACAAAAAAAATTTATAACTTCGACGTAATCGAGATATAGTCGATGAGATCATAGGTGTGGATAGATCGATAGTCACTGAGATACTTGAAAAAATGTGCTGATATACAGCGCATTCCTTTTAAAAAAATGATCCTGACTTTCTACTTTCTAGTTATGGACCTTGTTCTCCCATTCATATTCGTTTTTGAATCAAGTTTATAGCTATCATTCAACTCGAGTAATTGAGATCCGACGCACTAACGCCCCACCCTGTATATATGTCAAAGCCGGGAGGTGAGATGCAGGACTCTGTGTAGTATTGAGTTACCTCTATATATGTGATACTTTTCATTTGTCAAGAGAATGATGAACAAAAAAGAGAGGTTCTGGCACAAGAGCAAGTTTCGAAGCTTGAGTTGGTTTTCTTACCGCTGCTGCAGACTGAGCCAAAGTATTTTTGGCAACATAAGCTGCCTGGTGGCCTGCGGCATCCTGATTGTTCACAGCATCATTAGCTGCATTGAAGGAACCCTCAGCTATACTGCGCAGACCACTACCAGCACTGAAACCTTGTTTCTTTTTCGGCGCTGGGGAATTATTTGCTTGGGCCAATTGGGCAAATTGTACGTCGTAGTTTGTGAGCACATCTATATCTTCGTATTCTAATGTGTGGTACACTGGGACTGAAAAGAATCAGAAGGTTTCGTCTTGCTATTTCAAAATATTAACAATAATTCACATTGTCATATTATAGTTCGCACAGACGAATTGTAGGTTCATGAAGCTGAAACCCATTTCTGTAGAAAGTATGATCCTTCGGTGATTTATTCTTCAAATTTTTTGCTGAAGCTTTGTTTCCTGATCGGCTGTCGCACACGTGTTAGTCAGATATTTTCGTGGCCAGTATGAGTTTCATTTCAAGAAAACATCTGTGATAACTATATCATATCATATTCTATTGATCATGAGAAGGAATTTCTCAAATGATAATCAAAAATATTCCCACTTACTTGAGAAAGCAGCTAGAAGAAGTAACATTAACATGTCCTTTGCTGAAAAAGAATCTGATTATCCACAGTTCACACCACTACATAAACAATTTGATTACCTACCAGTGGAAGAACACTAATAATCCTCGGCAGTAAGGTACTGATTGATGGATATCATTCACCAGATCTTTATAGAAGAGCATATAGAGTGGGATAAAAGGTAGGGAAGTTTCCTAAAGGAGCGAAACGACGTTAATTCGGCAAAGAGAGAAACCTGCAACCGAACCAACCGAATTAAAAATAATTTTTAATAATTTTTTACCAGCGAAATGAAACAATTTATATGGATCGAATTTATTGCTTTCATTTTTTTATAACATCGTCAGAAGTTTTGGTCACGGTTTTTGAGCTCTGCTTAATGCGAACTGCACTTCGTACAATGAAATTATTACTCTCCGGTGGACATATTACGTAATTCGATTATACCCGAAAATTAAACAGTGTTTTGAATTATATACGATTTGCATATTTCAAAAGTTCTCATTTCACATTTTTATTTTTATGAGTACCAGTATCAGTAAAAATGGTACCAAGATACCAATTTGAGTAGTAGTATAGCATATGTAGTATATTGTACAGTGCATCCCATTTTTTTATCTCTTGGAGCGCACGAAAGAAAATTCCTATAATGTGCGTGGAACACCATGTGTACCTAGAAAGGATAGGGAGAGAAGGACGGTGTTGGATTTTTTTGGACTTTAACTCTTGGAGGTTATAAGTTCTTGGAATACTTCCATTGGAAAACTTCCAAAGCTTCGCCGTTCTATAGACTATAGACGAGTTTTGGTAGAGTTCGGCATTTTTCAAGGTTAACGACGAAGGAATGTGCTGACTGGTTGTGACTGTCAGGTTTCTCGGTGGTTGTTATCGAAAATAGAGCTTCGCGATTTTCACGTTCCTCTCCTACTTTTTTGCCAAACATAAAATTATAGCTCTATCAAATTTTGCATAACGTTTCCGTTTATTAGGTACAGAGTGATTTCAAAAATTCATACTCTCTTGCGCAGAATTCAGTGGTGTACTCAAACATTTTTTTCGAGGTTTGGTTTTGGGGATATAAGTATTACATAAACTCATATATTTTTCAATATCACCCTGTATTATCCTCTCAAAATGATATGTTATATTCTATACAAAGGCTCTCCAGAGAAGCTCAAGAATACTGAAGCATCATGAAATTTTGATAGTGCAGGCGGGCTGTGAATTTCTCATATAAATAGAGTATATTTTATGAATAATTCTCATTTGGGATATTTTCATGAAGAGATAAGGTCTTAAATAGAAAAAGAATAGTTTTCTTCACCGAGTTTGACTAGAATATCTCAAAGTATATTCATCAACTTAGTCAAACAATTTGAATCATTATATATGCTTCACCCTGTACAACCATCAAATGATAATACGAAAATGTTGTGCAAGTCAACTGCAGATCTGAAGAAAATATCAATTAACTATTTTTCTTGTTGGATATTCTTTTATATTGCTTGTGGTAATTCTTCCTTGATTGCACTTCTTTCACATGACTTCACTAGTGAAGGCTTCTCGCTTCTGTTAGATCAACAACGGAAAAAATATTGCATTCACTGAAGTCATTTTCAACGGTATACGAGAAATCGCGAAAACCGTACATCTTAAATTGATAGAAAACTATTTTATTTTTGCGGCTATTCACTTAATCATGAAATAAAATTCACAAGTGAATACACAATCATCTAATAGACAAAATGGAACAAAATATTTCAATTTCTCTCTTCATGACGGAACATCAGAGTTGAATTAATGGAATAGGTTGTATTTCCGAATATTCAAAATCAAAATGGCATAGGCTATCCTGAAGATTCATGTGAAACTTATCGAGAATGTTCTAGGGTTAAAAATTTGGGATTCAAACAAGAAAATTGACGTGTCCGAGTTTTTTTGAGAACCTTATATAGGTATAACGAAAACACATATCGAGTTTCTGCCATAGCAACTATCAACATGGAACATGTACACATGTACAAAATAGTGACAAAAATGTATGCATTTCTACCACAGGGCAGAGTTAGCTTTTGTCTGATCCACTTGAACAAATTGATTAGAATCGTCAATGAAATAGGTAATTTTTTCAGTTTTATCCATTGTTATTCATTGTTTGAGAACAAAATAATCTCATTCTTGTAGGTATCAGATATTTTTCTATTTTGCGTCTCTAATGAACTCATTATAACACCCAAATGCATATGGAAACAGCTTCTATTAGGACACGCTGAATTTATTTCTTCAAAGTTGGTAATGGTAACGTCAACGTCAAACTGTCAGACACACTAGCGTCTAGAGATAGGACGCAACAAATAATCCATGACGTAATTGTTGTTACTTTGAATGTTACAATTGTTATATACATTAGCTATAACATTATCTTGAGAATTGTGCAATGCGAATGTGAGGTAGAAAGAGGCATCAGAATGTGCTGTAGAAGTTGAAGGCTAGGAAAAAAACATTTGAGCTTGAGCTGCCCCAATTTTTCTCTTCACAGAAGCTTCTATGTAACCTTCAGCAACTGCTGAAAACAATGCCCTGTATAGCCGTTTTGGCAAATTCCCTCAGTCCAGGAGGGGTGCATCTTAAGTTTGCCTCTTCAATCTTTCTAAAACTAGAAAACTCAGATTTTCAATAGACCAACAAATTCAAATTATATCACTGGAATATTAATGTCAGTTCGAATAATTCTTCTACCATCTGTCGAATTTGGGAAGTAACATTCGAATGTTTTTTAATGTTACCAACTATATAGGTACTTACTTCATATATCTTTGAATGTGATGTTTGTATTGATGAATTGAAAAAAAAGTACTGTGTCGATAATGTTGTACTGGGACCAGCTGCCGGTCGCAGTGTACTAATATACAGAGTACCATTTACTAGGCTGCTGATGTCAGGTATGAGAGAACTATATTAGGCCATTAATGCCCCATATCAAGATGTTTGCTGGGCGCCGTCGCCTTTTTGCCCGAACGAAAGAAAGATGCTCCTACAAGTCCTACAATTCATGAATAAGTGGAATTAAATAATAAACAGTGCTTTTCTTTAATGTTTCCCCCTTTTATGTTTTGAACAAGTCAACTGAAAAAATTGAAAATCGGGGTAATACAATTGATGCATGGATACTATATTTTGTGGTAAGATTGACAGATGAAAATTTCAAGATGGCGCCATGGAAAAAAATAAAATGGAAAGGAGGGTCTTCTAACACATCTTCTTGAAGCTTCTGACGAATACTTCACAACCGTAGAATATAGAGTTTGTGGTTTTTTTGAGCACTCCTCGCTTCGCTCTTCGTACTCCAAACAACGCGTGCGTCAAAATAGTGTCTAATAAAACTTGTATAATAATATACTATTATGTAACCAGTTAGGAAACGCGTCATTTCGTTTGGCGATGGAATTTTGCGCAAAACACAGAGTTACACAAAATATGCGTTTCGTAACTAGTTAGGTTCAACATTTTTTCTAATTTTGATGAAACATTTGGTTTGAACATATAAATATTGACCAGTTCTACATGAGTTATACCGATTATGTACAAAATTTAGTAGGCAAGTTGACTACGCACGTCACTTTGAAGTATCCGTCAAACAAAAATATGGTATCGAATAATCAGCGACGAAATTCACGAAATAAACTCGTTTGATAGTTTCATAAGTCGAAAATGGCTGTTCGAGTTCAGATTTCCCAAGTGGTATCGAGGAAGCAGCACAAAATACATTAATCTCTTCGTCCAATTGTATTTTTATTGCGTAACTGATGTTGAAATGAGTATTTCATCACCAGTTATCTAATATTTCACTTCATGCAACTGGTCACGAAACTTCTGTCAGTTCTGAAAAGTGTCAAATTATATGTCAAAATTAGATAAGAAATGTATCCAATCGATAGAAGAAATGCTATATTTTGTCAATATCTTTCGTTTTTTAGATTGTAGAAAAATATATATCTTAGGTGCGTCTTTTCATCCCATGCTACCTTGTAACTTGACTGATTCGTAGAGTGATATATGGATATATCATAATTATGTTTCCATCTATCAAACAAAATTGTTCATCAGGAATTCGCAAATACCATTATATGTAGAGAATAAGCATGGAAGTGAATTTTGTTTATAGATTGTTAATGGACGATAGTTCCAAAACAATATCTAAAATAGAAACTATAGAGATACAGAATTATTGAGGAATCGATATAGAATACATCGATAGCAAGATAAACTGAACAGTTTGTTCATTTATTTCATATTCTGTACGAATCTCTTTCGAAGCGAACGACACAAAATTATGTAGGTATCACAAGTCTTATCACTTTTACCACCAAAGCTTTTCATGATAGTTCTCATGAACATAAAAGCATACGATCAGTTTGATTCACGATGTCAACTGAAATCATCGAATTTCCAGATAAGCAGCCATCAGATATAGAGAATGGTGGAAAAATTAAAGTTTCTCTTTTAAGGATAACTGGTTTCGTTTTCCTGGTATTCTTGATTCTTGTGTCGACATTTATGCTGAACCATTTTAGCAGTGAAGGTAAAGTAATATATTTTTCGTTATAATCCTCATATGGTTTTAGAAGGAATAGTATTTTCGTCGTGCTTGAAGAATTGGTTTTCTTTTGGTTCTCAATTACTGAAACGGGGAAGTTATAATTGTAAAGTACTCCGATGAAGATATGCTTCATGTATCAAAAATCTTGCTATTGTATGTTGAATAACATAGGTGGAGGAATTTTGTGTTAGGACCCAAATGTAGTGAGACTATAGAGTAAAAATTTAATGGATGCCCTAGGAGGATAGACTCCTTATTTTTTTTTCATAGGAGCCTTAACAACTATCATATTATGTCATTTGCTATCATCAAACTATAGAATGATGATGCGTCTATCTTTCTAGATCATCTAGTCCACTGTCACCCTGTATCAAAAACGTGTAACCATCATTAAATCTCTTTGTTCTGCC